CTCAAGAGTTGGGGAGACTTGAGCAGTTAAGAGAAAGCAAACCACTAAGAAAAATGAAGAGAGCCATATTTTGGATTAATCATAAATGCTTTTATTTTTAAATTTTAAACATCTGAAAGATGGGAAGATAAAAAAAATAGTTGGGTCTTCTCCAGGGGACAAAGAAAATGGAAAAATAAACACTGGTAAAGGTAAATTTAGCCTTACAGGCAACCTTCCTGGTAGTCAGAATTATGAGGTTATGAAAGAGAGCTCTCCCCATCTCTCCTGGGCCATTTAGGCTTAGAAAAAATTGGACCTGAAAAAGTGTCAAAATTCACAGTTAGGGCACCCACTCAGAGCACCATTTCCATCTCTGAAGTAGGTTACTACATTCACCGAGGGAAATTTCTATTGAATTATAATTAGGTGGCTAATTAAAAAGTGGATTATCAACAAAATTAAAATGTGCCACAAAGATGTGCACATCATTCATTCTTTAATTTAGGAAATCCACCTTTTCCTTAAAAAAAAATTCTCACTGGGAAATTCCATGTGTAAGGCATTTTGTTTTTTTCTTCTTAAATCAATTTTATTGAAGTGAGTCTAAGATTTTTTTTTTTTTGCACAGTGGATGTAATTTGAGCTTCTGTTAATAAAAACTACCAACACATCATAGTTATTATTCTTTACAATGAGAACCAATGGCCATGGTAGTGACCCTAGGGCAATGCAAAGTATTCAGCCTAATGTATCCAAACTCTGCATTTTATGTCTTCTTTGCAAAGATGAATAAATCAAGATAAACTATAAACTGCAAAATATCTAATAATGAAAATAATGGCTGCTACAATTTATTCACTGCTAATATATGTCCAATGCTGTATGTTTTTTTAAATTCAACAGCCCTCTGAAGTAATTTTATGCCTATTAAACAGATAAGGGAACTGAGCTCAGGGAAGTTAGGCAAATTATTTGAGGTAACATAGCTTGGAGGTTATAAAGCTGAAATTCAAACTCAGGTCTCTTTGGCCTCAAAAATCTTACATTAAGCAAAAGTTTGCCCTCCTTAAAATGTTTTAATATTAAGCTAAAACTGTTGCATTCAGTTAGTTTTAAAAGTGTTAATATTCATGTACCACATAGTCAAGATCTTATATAACCAGAAGATCGTATTTCCTAGCTATTTGTCCAACCATCAGTTTGAGCAAGTTAGTAATTATTGGAGACTCCTGAGCCATTACTAACAAGTTAAAAAGTAATAGTCAGCAGGTACTATGTTAGTTTTAATTTATGTTTTCTCATTCTAATTTCTAAGAAAGTACAATTAAATGATAGCCCATGAACTTTGGTACAATCCTGTCTATGAGCCTGCTAGACTAGTCAAGTATTAAATGGGTCGGTCCATTCCTGAAGGCTCCTAAAAATTAGGCACCCTATCTAGATGACTTAGTAGATGGGCATGACTATGCTGGGATGGGCTTACTAAATTGCTTATAGTACTCAATCCTCATGCCATGGAATTCCTTCTCAAATAAATAGTGTAATTATACTAACATTTTTTGAGGGCCTATGCTCAATACATACATTATTTCACTTTACTCCAGGATATCTCAGTCTTGGTACTATTGGCCTTTTGGGTCAGGTGACTCTTTGTTTTGAGGACCTGTCCTGTGCATTTTAGGACGATGAACAGCATCCTTTGCTGCTGCTTTCAGGTGTGAATAGCACATTTACTCCCTCTAGTTGTGATAGCCAAAACTATCCCTAAAAAAATAAATATTACCAAATATCTTCTAGTGGTAAAAATCACCCCTAGTTTTACTTCAACACCTCTAGGAGGTTGATAACTATTAGAATAATAATATTAATTGATGAGGGAACTGTGGCTCCAAGACGTTCAAGCAAAATGCCTAAGATCTCACAGTAAATAACAGAGCTGGGATGCACAAAGATTGTCTCCCTCTTAAATGCCGTCACTCTGTGGTTTAAACTCTCAAGTGATGATCGGCCCTCCTTTCAGCCTCTTCACTCCTGTATCTCAGCATGGGGCTGGAGCAGTGGGAAGGAAGAAGGGGGCACATGATAGTGCATAGAACTTTTATTGTACCATGGTCTTTCATTTGGTGTATTAATTCCATTTTAACTGGAGTTCTGGAAACTAATGAAAAAAAATTATAAGTCTTAGAGGGTTTTTGAATCTGTCTGATTTAATCTAACCAATTAGCATGCGATTATGGAGGAGTATTACATTGAGAATCAATATTACACTAAACACTAATATTTTATTCAGTATTAAAAATTTATACAAGTGATAATACAAGTGCTTTATTCCTATTTTCTCTAAATGAGAAGAAATGCTTCCTTAGGGCAATTCCAGCTACAAAGAAAATTATATCTTTTTAGGAAGCTATTGGTGTTAATGCTTTATATAGATCATTGCTTAAATGAATCAGTAAGATTTAATTGAATGAAATTTGTTTATTTTATTATAAAGTCTATGAGTTTTTCAGTGTATCAAAATAGTTTTCCATTCATCCTTATGTCTTATGTTAGGATGACAACGAAAGTACACTATTGTCCAATACTGCTAAAAAGGACAAAGTAACTGTCATACTCTGATTTTAGAATATCCTTCCTTGTCTCTCCTGCACTCTCCCCGATTCCCCCAACACACACACTTTCTTTTCTTTTCTTTCTTTCTCCATTTGGATACTTTATCTTTTTTTTGATTCAACTATAATCTTAAACCAAAATTTGAGCCTGTTGTATCCAGACTCTACATTTTATATCTTTTTTGCAGAGGAACCAATACACCTAGATAAAGTATGAACTAGATAACCATCTAATAACTACCTAGAGAGAGTTTGGTTGGGTGTGATTTCAAATCTGCTTTCCAAATTTTGCAGTGCCTTTACTAGTGTCTGACCTTGCCCATGCTCTTTGATTGTAGACCCTGTGCCCACTGCCTGGATCCTGTAGCTTTTCCTGGCCCCTCCTTCCATCTGGTCTGTCCCTCAGTGTCTACTCTCCCAACTTCAGTAGCTTCATCAAGCTTCCAAGCTAGGGTAGCATTGAAGATTACCATAGTTTGGATCTAATGAAGGCATTTATAGTTTTTAATCAGTTAAGTACTTTAATTTCCAATTTCTCAAATATTTGAAAACTGTGAGAAAACTATACCTGTTAAAATATCCCAAACTTTGTGAATAATATACTCGTTCTTCAGTATTAGAGTTAGAAAAGTTTTGTTCCATATTATAGTGATCTCCTAATTGGCTTGGCAAGATCGATCAGTTAATATGCATATGTCTTGAAAAAGCTGCTCTTTGGGAAAAGGTTGCTTGTAATTCTAAAGGCATATTAGAAGCTAAAAACTGCCTTGCAAAATCAAAGCAAGAAAAGTCATTGAATAAATTAAGCTAACTGAAAAATTAGAAATTGGAAGTATGTTCAGCATAGTAATCACCATTACAAATAGGAAAACTTAACTAAAAAAAATAACATTTAATCGGTTGACTTTTCTAAAGTATTGATTGAATTTCACTAATAAGCATTTTATGCATATGGCTATTTTGAAAGTTCCTTTAGAAATGAAAGACTAATGCCTTAATGAGACTATTATTACTTGAACATATTTGAATCTGGCTTATGAAAAAATAGGATGAGAATTTAAAATGTGTGCATAAAATGCAAACGGGTTTAATTGACTGAAAACCCATAAGACAGAACTTCTTCACATAAGCAATTACTTTGGGGACTAATAGTGTAAATAGGATCCTGATTCATTAGCATAAATACCCATATGAGAGAAGGATCAGCAAATTTTATTCTTTAAGTTATTTATGCACACATGGTAATATCTCATTAATTTAGGGCTTCAATAAATTTAAAGTCTTGGTAATTTCATGAGCTGGGCTTACATTTACCTTTGTTTTGCAAATCCTTTATTTATAGGTAGATAAGACATGGTCTTTTAGACATTTATTTTCAATCTTATGTACACTTTTTAGACACAGAATAAACTATTTTCAATGGACCTCAGGCACTTTACAAGCGCCTGCATACATCCAATCTATATGCTAATAACACAGTGTTCATGTGATTTATTATAACAGGTCTCCTTAAGGATTTCTATTTTGTAAGGTTTTGTTAAAGTTACTATATGTAGTTTAAAGTAATAAAAGCCACATTTGTTTAAAAGTTATCTATAATTCAGTCTTCCCACAAATTGAGATATGCTAACTTCCTTAATTTGTTAGAATAAATGAAATTTTACAATATTCATAGCTATACATATATAGAGAAATTTTCTTTTGAATATGTATTAGGACATATAAAGAAAAATAAAATATGATGAAGAGTGAAAATAACAAATGATTTTGTGGGCGTAAAGGAGAGTGAACTGTTTCAAATAATTTTAAGTTCTTCAGGCACAATATCCTGGTGAAAGAACTCAGTATGTGGCCTTTTCTTCAAAAGCTGATATCACTCACTGGGGAAGACTCAGTTCTAGTCATTTGCAAAGTGATAATAAGTTTTTCCAATTAAAGACAGTCAGTGCCCAGGCCAAAAGGGGCAGATGCTCCAAACTAGGGCATCTGGTATGGAAAGAAGTGCCACTGCACAGCAATCTGGCATTTCTAAATCTTCCTTGAATGTGGCCATGACTTTTCAGAGTCCACATGTCAGTTTTATGCTACTAACTAAAGAATTTAAAAAGTGTCCATAAAGTGGGTAGAAGAGTTATGTTATTTTGATTATCAAAACTCGTATGTAGGTCAAAATGACTTAAATTCTAAACCAGATAAAGCATATTAAACTAGAATTTATTAAAACCACAAATGAACTGAAAAATGCAAATATTCCCCTTGTTTAGAAAATATTCTGAAGACAAATCTGGATATTAATCATAAGTCATGCCATCTTCACACAAGAAACATTTCCATTTCTTTTGAAAATAGTGTAAGAAAATTAGGAGGGGAAAGTCAATTCTGTTACCCAAATTAGTAGTTACTTACCATTTGAAGGGGGAAAATAAGCTTCAGTTCCATTTTCATAGCTTAATAATGCTTGAAAGAGGCCTCTCTCATGTGTTTCTTGATTGTATAAAACCTGGGAAGGAGATATAGGCATAGGATATCTCATTGTCAAGAAGAAAACTGCTCAATTGATCCTAGCTTCTTATGTCAGTGATTATTTTTCATCTAATAAGAGCTATCCCAGCCAACCGTATGCCACTTACAATCAACCAGCTGCTCATAAAACTTTGACCAAGAAGGGTTGAAATGACTACTGCCACTAGAGAAAGACCCACTCAGTATTTGTCTGAATGAACTCTAAGTCCTTAACTTCACCAGGGCTCAATTCCCACATCTCTCAGGTGGATACCAGCTATTCAGTGGACTGTTCTGATGACTCTTTGTTTTGGGGATGATGTATAGTAAGACCTTTAGTTAACAGTAAAAGTATTTATTTATGCCCTTAAGAATCTTCATCTTAAGGATTTGAGGTGACTTCCGTAAAGAAAAATAATAAGAATAAAAATATGAAAGAGAAAAAAGTATATAGGCTACCTATACTGGTCAACAGTTGAGATGATTGACATTACAATATGGATTTTAATTTCTTGGTAATTAAGTAAAAGGAAAACATAGTTTTTCTATAATTCATATACTAGAAAGGAGAAAATACACTACTTCCCAAAAGAAACCAAGTATTTTATCTTCCTGATATGGAATTCACAGAAAAATTTTTCATATAGAACATGATATAGGGACATTGAGATAAAATGACTGTTCTACCCAACAGGAGTATGGCTGACTCCCTACAATGAAAACTGAAAGGCAGACAGTATTCTTGCTTGGAGGTAGTTATTGTTGCTATAGAAATTGTATTACTCCTAGAGACAAACCTGAAGCTTGAGTTAGGGAAATCCTAAATATAAACCCACTAACTCCCCCAGCTCTCCTCCCTTGCTGTGCCTGCCTAACAAACACACAAGGAGCTCCTTTCCTTAAGTCGTGTCCTCTGCAGAGCTTCTGAAGGAGTAGCTGATTGCTGGTGACTCTAGGCCAGTCACTGCTCATGAGTATGTAGGGAGCAGAGCAGCAAAGATGAAGTGTGAACCCAGGTGTGGTGTAGCCCTGAGAGCCACACAGCCCATTCCATGGGACAGTCACAAAAGGGAAAGGAAGAGAGGGAAAAGATACAACCGAATGATAATATAAATGAAACAAATCACAGCCAAGGCCTCTTCCTTGAAATCCACTTTTTTCTTGGCTTTCTTGAAACTTCACTTCCAGTTTTATAGGAAACTTCTCCCAATTTTTCTCTTCTGGCTCTTCTACCTCCCCTTAAAAATGTGGGCCTTGTTCAAGATTCTCTATTTTTGTCAATTACATTGACATCCACAGTTAAATTAATATATTTTTTTCACACCTTCCAGGCTAAATCCTGGTTTCTTTTCTCTCCACAATTTGTTTTGCTTTCCACACCTAAAGTCATAGGCATTGTCACTCTCCATGGCTTCTTCATTCTCCCCCTCCATCCTGGTACCTCGCCACAACACACACATCTAACTGATGATGGCCACTTTGCACACAAAAAGCTCTACTTCCTTTTTACATGTCCAAGGCCATTGTCATAGCAGAAGCTCCTCAAGCAGCCACCATCTCCCATCTGGGCAGATTGCCTCCTATCTTATATACTCCCTGCTTCCAGTGTCCATCATTGCCCAGTTTTCTTAATGATCCCGGTTTTCTTCCTAAACTTCATGCTTCTCCACTTGCTTGAATACTTCGAATCACTTTCCAGTCCCTATGGGATCAAGTCTAAAACTTCTCAGCAGAGCTTTCCAAGATCTGAGATCAAGACATTTACCACTTTTCACATAACCTCTCTAGTCATATTAAACCATTTCCCCTCACTGTCCTCCTTCCACTCAAAAGCTGTTTTTCTTGCCACCATGACTTTGGTTACTAGCTTTCTGCTGTCTGAAATGCTCATCTTTTAACACCCAGTTCAAATACCACCTCTTTAAGGGATGTTCCAGAAATCTTAGGTGAGAATTCATCATTCCTCTGCAAACCCAAGAATCCTTAGCTACACCCATATTACAGAAATCACATTTATAGAACTCTGGCTTTATTTTCAATACCTCTAAGTACAGAAGTGCCAAGAGCTCTCAGACAGCTTATGATGTAGCTAGGGTAACCCTGCTTTATTCACATTTCTAACTTGTATGGGGGTAATATTCAATGCTTGACTGTGGAAGTGTTCTGTAAATTACAGGTGATCAGATGATTTCTGAAAGTCAAATAACACTGTGACAGGCTCTGAACATAAAAGGTTAAGGACACCATTATAGAAAATATTTTCTAAATAAGTGACAATAGCAGGACTGACCCAATTTGGAATACAACACAAATGAAAGAAGAGGGGATGAGAAACAAAGCCAAGTACAGGTGAACATGTTATTTTTATCTATTAAAAATTTTAACATAGATTTGTTTGATGACTTTATAAAAATTAAGTGTTTATATCTGAAAAATAATGTTGCATTTGTTTTAATGGATCAGATCATAAAATAGTCATTGTGCATTTGAGATTTCCACATGATCTATCTATCCATCTGTCTTATGGCAGAACTCCCATGAGGGATGAAAACGTCTTCTTGGTGCCTATCCTAGTGCCTGGGACATACACGATAGTTTAATATTTGTTGAATGAATACACAATTGCTCATCTACTTACCTCTCTTCAGCTGCTCTTCAATCTTTCTTCCCTTTTATGGTCAAACTACTACAAATAATTACTGATGCTCTTCTTTCTTTTCTTACCTCCCATTGGCAGCTCGCCTACTTCAGTCTGACCTCTGCCTTATCACATTGCTCACTGTGCAGAGCTATTAAATTCCAGTCTGCTCCCTCTGGTTGTGCTCAAACTTCTGTGTTGTGGCAGGTGTAGGGAGGGAAATTAAAGATCCATCTCACCTCACAGAAGTCGCTGAGAATGTGCTCTGTGATGCCTCAGCCTACTTCCTCCACACAGTGATGTCAGCAAGTGGGTGAGGCGAGTCAACACTGCTTCATGAACATTTGGTTTATTTACCCTGGTCACAAGGGTGACTACTGGGTGGAGGAACAGGCAGTGCTGTGCTCATAAAATTCCCTGGTGTCAGGCTCACATTTTCTTTCCAGTTCAGACCTCAGAACCTCAAGACCATTTTATGCTCAGAAGTCAGTTCCACTCTCCTTCTAGTGGTCACCAGCATTTTAATATGGCTTTTCTCTCTATCATGCCTGATTCTCAAGTATCTTCTTAAAATAAGCAAAATGAAACCATGTGAAATATTCTCAAATAGGCATGACTGCAGACAGCACCAGTCACAACTCTTTTTCCCTTAATGTCACTTGGTGATTTCTCCTTAATTCAAAATATTCCTCTCCTGATCAGTATTTCCACTCTTGCTAAATAAAATAAACAGTTCTTGGTCTTCCACATTTAAGCCAGCTGACCACTCCCACCTTCCTGAAAAGAAATCCTTGTTCCCTTGACCCCCATGACCTGGCAATTTCTTGGGTTTCCTTTTATTTCTCTTGATATTCTCCCTTTCTTTTGCAAGTTCATCCTTCATTACTTGGCTATGTGTATATCAATTCCTTAAGAGTTTGGCCTTTCTTCCCCCTTCCTTTCTACCTCCCCCACTGGATAAGCTTTCTCTAGGCAATTATATCTATCTTCAGACCATATATCAATCATATCCAGACTTACAAATGTGAAGATGAGTCACAGGTTTACATCCAAACCTCAGATGTCTCTAACAAGCTCCTCACCCATAATTCAATGTCTTCTTCATCTGTCCTGTGATGTCTTCAAGACAACCGAAGCTCAGCTTGTCCAACACTGAACTTAGCATCTGTCATTACAAACTTGTTCCTGTTCTGGTGTTCCAACACTCCTTGTGGTCTCCACATAAATATTGCAGAAGATGGTCTGCCACTTTACCTCCTATATGCTCTTGAATCCATTCACTGTTTAGAAACCACGAACATCTCATCCTTCCTCCCCTCTGCCAAACTATTATTATCTCACTGCTGAAAAAGTTCAACTGATCTACATAACTTTCTCCTCTTGCCAACCCATACTCCACATTGTAGCCAGAAATATTTTTTGAAATATCATATTGATGATGTAACTAACTACATTCCTCCATCTACTCTGGAAAAGAACCCAACCTTCTCATTGCTCCTAGGATAAGGCATAATTTTTGATCATGGCTAAAAAGCCATTCATGGTGGTGATCCCTGATTACATCTCCATACTCAAGCTGTTTGCTCATGCTGTCTGTATTCTAGCCCTTGGGCCTTCCTTCAGTCTCTCATGTTGCCTCTGCCCTCTTCTGCTTTCCATGCATTGTTGCTTTCCCAAACCTCACACCTTCTGCCTATCCTTCTTTCTTAGCTGGCTCCTATACATCACTTGGAACTCATTTTCCACAGGCTGATATCTCTCCTTTGTAGCATTCAGGACAGTTTCAATTTCATACCTATTTGTGTCATTCTTTTACTGTATGTCTTCCCCATAAGCCTGTAGGCCAAAGAGGACAGGAATACCTGACATAATTCATTGCATCTGAACAGTGACACACAATGGGTACTCACTGAAGTTGATTTTATTGAAAGCATGAGTGTATGAAATGAATATGAAAGTAAATGCAGATGGAAGTTCACTGAGAAAGATGTACCCATTGCCTAGTGTTTATAAATTCTAAAGATAAGCACAGTATTGAGATGAGTAACAAAAGCATTAAGAACTTTTGATGGATTTAAGAAATTAACGTAGGAGGGTTTTCTTTCTTACCTAGATTCAGTAGTGGGTGGATGGGAATGATAGGGATTTTTAAGTGAAAAACTTCACCTGGGCTGAAGCAACTGGTTTTAGCATGTAAGGAATGCACTAAGATATGAAAGTAGTACTTTTCAACCCTGTTCTTGCCATTTTTGCCACTGCATATGTTGAACAAGAGCCATTGCAAGGAGAGGAAGGGAGGCTTGAGGACAGAGACAAGCGAGGGTGGAGGGGTGGACAAAGGAGAGAGAGATTTCAAAAATGTTTAAGTCTCTGAATTGTGGATATTCTACTGAGTATGCCTTTTTATATCCTTGTTTCTAAAATCCATGTCATTACATGCAATACAATTGTCTCTGCTTCCATATGGCAACAATATTCTAGCGACTATATCAGGATATCAATAAATAGGCAAAATGAAAATTGCATAAGTTGTTTTCCCTCAGTTACTTTCCAAATACAGATCTCCCCCCACCTCAAATAATGAAACACAAATTTTGTAAATTAGAATAGTATCAGTTATGAATGCTGTTTTGCAGTTATGAGAGTAAAAACATTCCATATTGAAATAAGAAATGCCATCTGATTTCGATTTAAGACAAAGGGGGAGAAACACATTCCATTTAAGAATGACAAATAAAGCTGTCAGTGTGATCCATTTATAGCCCTGCAGAGAATGCCACAAATCCACATAATGTTCTGAAGAGCTAGTTATTGTATTTGCTTTCTAAAAGAGAGAAGGCGTAGAAGTCCCCAGTGGATTGCTATCCAAGGAAACTGAGGTTAGGGGGAATAAACTTCCTTAGTCAAAATCTGAGGTGCATACCCCTTACAAGGAAGAATGAGAGCTTCAGGCATTTTATTTAAAAAGTATTCCACAGAGGAAAGGGTAGAATGTTGCTGGGACTAATGGGGCGGAAGGAAATGGAAAAAGCCCTTTGTCTTCCTTGTCTGCCCACTCCCCTCATCCCCCGAATCCTGGGAGGGTCTTGACCTAACGAGGTCTCTTTCTGCAAGGCCTGCTAACAAAAATTATGAAAAGCCATAAAATCTTAATTATAAACATCCAAAGTGCTAGTTATTTTTGAACATTTTATTATGGGTTATTTCAGGCTCAGGTACAAGGGCACTTGCCACAAACATGTATTGGAAATATAATCTCCATTCCTTATTATGATATTTAAGTATTCCTTCTTTTAAGAAGCAGTTTGCTATTAAATACATATGTTCATATATAAGAATATATAAAATATGACCTTCTGCAAGGCATAACTGATTATATTTTTCTCCTTCACATTGGCTAGTAAAAAAAAAGAACAAAATTTGTTACTATCTTCTAGTAAGAGTGTTGAATTTCATGGCATAAATTTTGAGTATAAATTTCTTTCCTGGCCCCATCTTACATTCTTAGCCTTATTTTTTTCCTTTGACTCATTTTTTCCTTACCTATTCGAAATATATTTTATATTGCTCTACAGTATGTATTTTATTAGCCTTTTTCTATAAGCCTTAAATCCTTTCCAGCATATAAATAAAATATACAATATTTATAGGTAGTCTTTTTCCCCCCTTTGGAGAGTTGCAAAATTTTCCCAAGGCAACATGTAATTTATCATCATATGAACATCTAAGGCTAAGATGATAGCTAAATAATTAAATTTTTGGTGATATTTAGTTTAATATTTCAGTTAGATTTTCTTAATGTTTATATGCGTACTTTTGTAACTGGGATTCCTAGCCTGAGATCCACAGACTCTCTCAAATTACATGCAAAATTTTGTACATGTAAAATTTTTCAGGAGGAGTTTCATGACTTTAATCCAATTCTGGAAGGTAAATTTGATCCAAAATATTAAAAATTACTGCTTTGCAGTGGAATAACCCCAGAAGATCCAAAAGACATTGGTCTTTTGACATTCAACTAATTGACAGAATATTTATTGACCACCTACTATGTGTCTGGCACTGTAATAGATACTCAATATCCATGATAGCAGTTAACAGCAGTAAATATGTAGACTTGACTTCAACCTCAGGATGCCTGTAGCCCAGTGGGGATGAGGGTAGACAATAAAAAACAAATGTGAAATAAGTGGGGGGGTTATGTACTACAGTAAAAGAAAGTAAGGAAATAGAAAATGAATCAACATGGTGGTCAGGGAAGACCTTTTTGAGGGGGTGTCATCTTAGCTGGGCCAAGCAATATCTGAGGGAAGAATATTCCAGAGAGAGTGACCAGCTAATGCAAAGACCTGAAAGGGATGTTATAATCCATAGCTTTTCTAGAAAATATGAATGGTAGATAGCCAAATTCACTTTTCAAATTCATTTTTGATATTTCAGTCTAGAAATATAAGACTATGATCTTCTGCATGAAAGATTTCTTTTTTTCATTTTTTTAAAAGTTAGATTTCCTAATGTGAAGGAAAGTATCCTTAGAGAATACAGTACATTTTATTCTACATTAAATTCATTCAATAAATATTTGAGTCTACCATCTTTAAGGCACTGTGGTAGACACCCTCAAGGTACTCAGCACAGATCAAATAAAATATAACTACCATACATGCGGCTGTAATGTACCTGAAGCCAATCCTGTATTGTTTCATATCATAGGTTTTGAACCAAGTAAATTCTAGGGCCCAGATACTCTAATGTACACATGAATCAAAAGCTTCTTAGAAGGACAGCAATCACCCTGTAAAAGTTGGAGATAGATGAGCAGTAGAAAAAGGAACACATAATGAAAATTGGGATTGCAAATCCTTGAAATAAAAATACTACACAATATGGCTTGGAAAATGCTCCAAACATCCTTGGCTGTGTAAGTTTTAAGTTAAGATGTGACTAAAGATCATAAATATCATCACATTATTGGATGTTACCCTGAATTAAATTCTTTATGAATCTATTAAAGAAATAATATACAGAATTCTGTGTGATACTGTGAACCAGGAACCATGTGCGAACTCTATGCTCATGCCTTTGGAGGTAAGGGCTGTTACTCTATAGATAGGGAGAAACTGAGTTTTAGAGAAAAAACTGACGAATCTAGTCAGAGGAGCCATCAGGGACTGGAACCTAGGCGTCTGACTCTGAGCCCCCATGATACCATCTCCAATGTTATCAGTCAGTTCCTTGACTGCTTTGTGAATT